AGTTGTCAGTGGAAGTGCTGAATGATGCAGGCCCACAAGAGCAGGGCCCACATGCTATCATGGGTCTTTCTGAAAACACTGACATTCAAATCAAATGCACTTTATAAGTTATAAGGAAATTGTGCCGAGGCTGAACTTTTTTTTTTTTTTTGGCAACACTATTGAGAATACTACATTATGCTCCCACAATAGCATAAACGTATGTCTTATCATTTGAACACAGCCCAGACAATAAAAGGGTTTCTGAGACTGGAAATATGTCTTTTGAGAAAGGCCAAACCAGTCTTACATGACAACACCGGTGGGGCGGGGGAGGAGAGGGGAATGAAAGAATGAGCAGAAATGACTGCAGCACAAAAGTCACAAACCAGGAGGGCTGTGCAGGGCTCACAGCTCCACCTGTAGCTCTCACATTGCAGCCCCCCAAGTTCCTTCAGGCCCCAGCATCTTTGTGTCTTGATAGGTAAAATGGGAATTATATTTTGTGGGAGTGTTGGGGGAAATACAATAATTAGGAAACACTTTCAAATATAATATGCATTACTGCTATCAGGTAAAGGTAACATTTTACTTCCTAGTGCTGGGAATTTGACTGTTTTCCTGTATTCTCATACATATTCAAGTGCTCACGAGTGTGTTCTCTCTCAAAAATCCCCATTTCTTCTTCTGGTTGAATGATTCATCAAAAATCTTGGCCCAAGTTTGGTGCTGTTTCAGAGAAAACAGACTCTAGGGAATGAGTAGGGAACATAATCAGGACTGTTCAAATAACCTCATTATAAGGCAACGTGGCACATATGAACTCCTCCATGGAGCAAAGGAGTAAGACATGGCTTAAGTTTCATGTGAGCCCTATCAGGTGACTTCATACTTTCACTCACTGGTCCATGCCAGTGATGCAAAGCGGCCAGAAGGGCAGGCTGGTGAGTGCAAGGGGCCACCCCGAGCTGAGGTCAGAAGAGACTTTTATAAATAGAATCATCATCAAACTTTTTATGCTCATAAATGTTGTTTTTGAGATACACACAGTGCAGGGATAAAAAGCTGGTCTGATAGATTATAGTGCTAGGATGTCAAGATCCCGGGGAGAGATATTTATTTTTGGTGCCCACCTTTCCCTCTGCACCTGCCCCTCGCCTGCCAAAAGGAAACTTCTCAGAGAGGTTTCTGGTGGCTAAAAAAATCTCCTGTGTGTCCACACCCGGTGAGTTTATTATGTCTGCAAAAACAAAGACCATAAAATAGAGATGTAAATATGAAGGTGCTAAAATACCCAGGAGTTTTCATTTTGGATGGTAAATTACAAATCGGAAAGTAGATACAATAAGTTACTTTCCAGATTTTAACTTTTTATCCACACTACTCTCAGGACTCCCAGGTACCCAACACAGCAACTCCAGGTGGATCAAATTTAATTTATAAATTCTGAGTATTGCCTTGTATAAATTATCATAAAATAACTTTGTCTTTTTTTTTTGTTTTTTTTTTGTCTTTTTGTCTTTTTCCGTGTCTGGCAACGGATCGCAACCCTCGGTGTTGCTCCCGTGCCTCGCTCAGCCAGTGAGCGGGAACCGGTCTGTATGTGGGATCCGAACCCTCGGGCGGGAGCGCCACCACGCTTCCCAAGCGGCACACTATCCAGTGCGCCACCGGGCCGGCCCATAACTTTGTCTTTTAAATTGGTGCTTTAAAATGGTTTGATATCTTTCTAATTTTAATCTAATAACATTTCAAGAATAAAATAGTGTCTAGAGAAGTGTTTATTATAATGGAAGTTAATGGGAGGGGAACGTTTTTGAAAAGACATGATGTTGTTCTGCTGAATGGTCAGGGGCGGCCACCCAGCACAGCCACAGACACTGTCCTCCAGCGAAGCTCAGGAGTGTCTGCTGCAGATGCAGGGCATTCTGCACTCTTGTGTGTTAGCTCCTTCGACCATCATGTGAGGTAAGCAGGGTGGAGGTTGTTACTCTGTTTTACAGATGAAGCAAATGAGATCGAGAGAGAAAAGGTGTGGAATATACTAAAAATATACTTCACAGGGCCTGGTTTTCCAAAGGCTTGCAGTTTCAAATACTGACCTTGCGGAGGACTGGAAATTTCCCTCAGGCTATAAGTCTCTGTTGCAAGATAAAGATTGTGGCACAGCAGTTTGCTGGCTCAAAAGACAGACTAGTTACTGACTGTTATATAAAGATACTGAGAAATTGCTGTTAAGAAGGAATGTTTGCTAAGGTCAAACTGTGGTTGGTAGGACCACTTAATTGCCTTACTGGAATGTCATCTGGCTTGTTTCACTGAAAGTTACCAGCCTATATTGTTAAACTATAACCCCACCTTTGTTCTCTTCCTGTAACTTCCTGGTCTGGAAAATAAATGCAGGAAGAGAACCCCAATTCGGTGTTAATTTCCCAAATGGAAGGGGTTGGTTCTCGCTTGAGCATTCCCAGGGTGATTAACCACTTTGGGGCCTCTCACTGTTCAGTAGAGATGGGCTTTGAGTAATCCTTTGCATCTCTGTCACCAGGGGAAGTGGGGTGACAAATCCGTGGGGGGAGAAGCAACGCAAAGCAACAAAAAGGTAGTTTGCTTCCGGTCAGAGAATAAGCTAGTGGCAGAGCCTGGATGTTACAGAAAAACCCATCAGCAGGAGAGCCGTGGCAAAACAACCCAAGGGACTAGGTGGGCATCTGAATCAAGTGTGACTTGTACACAAGACTGCACAAGCAGCAGGAAGGGCCAGCAGTTACCCAACCTGCAAATAATAGCAGTGCAGACCAGATTCAGGCCTCTGCACAGGACATGATTTCCAAACATTGAAAAGACCAGTTGCTGATGCGGACTGCTGGTGTCAGTCATGTGCACAGTTCCATTAACTGAAGGAGACATCTTTTTAAAGCACAATTCTGGGCTGTAGTCAGTATCATTCTGATACATACATTTTTCTAAAAAACAAAACAAGAACCTCTGTTTCAGAACATAGGATGTTGTAAAGGTTATATTCTTCGCATTTAGAAGAGTAAACAGCCTCCTGGCTTTTGGACTGTAGCTAAAATCTATTTCACTTTTTTTTTTTTCCTTTTTGTCTTTTTTACTGACCGGTAATGGGATCACAACCCTTGGTGTTGCGCCCGCACCGCGCTCAGCCAGTGAGTGGGAACCGGTCTCCACATGGGATCCGAACCCTCAGCGGGAGCGCCGCCGTGCTCCCAAGCGGCGCACTCTCCAGTGCGCCACTGGGCCGGCCCCTACTTTTTTTCTTTTGAAGTTAGTTTCTGGGCAAAAGATAAATTACTCTGTGCCAGATAGCAAAAAAATTACTTTTGATCACCATACTTTTAAAATATATCAGAGGATGACCATCAATCATTTAAAAGATATTCATAAAATATATGTACTTATAATATCTGAATGTAACTTGGACAAACATGTATCTACTTATCTATTAAAAGATTCTGTTGAACTAGGGGTGAAAAGAGCCAGAAGTTGGGAATTCAGAGTGAAGCAGAAACACATAAAAGGGAGACTGAGTAAGGAACACAGGAGGACAGGGAAGCAGGTCGAAAGAGACAGACGGAGATGGAGAGAATAACCGTACTTCTGAAGAAGCCAGGTGAGGATCTTGGTTGAAACTGGAGTCATTCACTGTTATGGGCTGAATTGTGTCCCCCCCAAATTCATATGTTGAAGCCCTAACCCCCAGTAGCTCAGAATGTGACCGCATCTAGAGACACAGCCTTTAAAGAAGTAATCGGTTTAAATGAGGTCTTTGGTGTGGGCCCTAATCCACTCTGACTGGGGTCCTTATAAGAGCAGATTTGGACACACAAGGAATGCCAAAGGTGCCCAAGCACAAGGGAAAGACCATGTGAGACTCAGGGAGAAGGTGGCCGTCTGCAAGCCAAGGAGAGAGACTCAGGAGAAACCAACCCTGTTAGCACCTTCATCCTGGACTTCCAGCCTCCAGAACTGTGAGAAAATAAACATTTGTTGTTTAAGCCACCCAGTCTGTGGTATTTTGTTATGGTAGCCTGAGCGACAACATTTATCAAAACCCCATGGAGGAAGAAGTGAAGCTTATCATCACAGCCGAGCCTTCTTCATCCTGTTCCATGTGACTCCATCACAGGACAGTAAGTTCCAGCAGAAATGCTGCTGTCCTGCCTCCCTCCGCACCCCCATCATGGCCATCCTGGCTCCACACTCTCCCTTAGCCCACTTCCCAAGGTGGCATAACAGATGAAGCCCACTTGTCACCAGACGTGGGATGACAGCCTCCTAAAGTCAGGGCTTGTCTTGTACCACCCCTTTCTCTTCAGAATCTCGTGTAGTGTTTGGCATAACCGCACACTGAGTCAAAGCCACACCTGCACATTACAGTCACACTATACTTGCTTTTTGAAATAAAAGATGCAGCTCTTTTTTTGCCTTTAACACCACTTTGAGCACATGAGCAAACAAATTATCATGAGACGTGCCCAGGAGAGGGGTGAAGCAGGGACTGGGGCTCTGGTCCTCACAGCCGGGCACTGCCCAGGAGTCCTGCAAGCAGAAGGGGTTAGGCTGTCAAGGAGAGGCTGTCTAAGGGTGATGCTCAGTTAGGCCTGTGCCCATAGCTTACAGTTCTGGGTGGTTTCAGGTAGACCGTGGCTTTCAGGCGAGCTAGGGAAGTAAAGTGGGCAAAGTCTACTAAAATTTCCTTTCCCCCTGTGAACTACCCCTCAGGTGACAGGAAAGGGCTGGAATGTGTAGGATAATTACATGCCTCTGCAGGCAGATGCATGGAGACTGACCATGAGTTGGGAGGCTCCCAGGCCATGTGGAAGGGGCATGGGCATGAAGCTTCCCTGTCTCTAAACCTGTCCACGTAGCTGGGACCATAAAACAGTGGCTCAAGTGAACGCCCATTGGCTACTGAGACCTGCAAGAGCCTTTGCCAGCCCTCCCTGTCTGTGTTCCCACTAGATGATCCACACTCATTTCTGCACCTGGATTCCTACCTAGGATCCACTTCTCTGACAGATACTTGATTGCTGCTTTCTTCTTTCTGCTGTAGGGCCCAATGAAGATGCCCGCCTGGCGAGGGGCTCGGCTGATTCGGCCCCCACACAGGTGTACCAGTTCACACAGCTTGGCCCTGGGGGGGCTGCTGGCCGGCGAGATGAACATCAGCGGCTGATCGGCAAAGAGGGTTCCCTGGTACTGCCCCGTGGACAAATGGCGCTCCAGCCGGCAAACCTGTGGGGCGAGACAACATGGAATTAGAAAGGCACGAAACCGTCCCACTCTTTGGAGCAGCTTAACCCTGAAGCTCACTTCCTTTTTTGGGAAAAGAATAGAATGAATGTAAGTCTGCATATTCCTGAAGGAATTCTGAATTCTGAGGACACAGAGAAGATAATGACATTAATGACATAAAACTGATGTTTTCTGAAGTGGCCATGAGTAAAATTTGAAGAAAGCAAATTTATAGGCAAAAACATGTAGGCCTTTGAATCTTACAAATTCTAAAACAAAATACTGAAAAGTAATCAACTGTTTGAGAGAGTCAGGAGAACCTAGGCTCCGCTCTGCAGGTGCTGTTTGAGTGGCCGGGACACCTGGCATGAGTGAGAGCAAGACCTGGTGCTACGCGGACTCCACTCTCACTGGAACAGCGCCATTCAACCCAACATGCTCCAGGACTCCTGGCAGCAAATGACTGCTATAAAATCTAGGAAGTGCTGTAAAGCTAGCACCATGGTTTAGATGGTAAAGGGGGAACGAGGCAATACAAAGGTAGAATTCCTGTAGCTATTCCTAAAACACATTAAGTTGGGAGAGGCAAGTGTCTAGAAGTTATTTCAGTGAGCTGTTATGAAAATGGTTATGAAGAGCTGAAGACAGTGGAAAACATTTCAGAAACAGGGACATGAAACTGCACTTCCTTTTATCCTGATAAAGTTAAGGTTGCTTGGGTGACCCAAGAGACAGTGGGAAAACCCATTTATTCTAAACACATATTGTACTAACTACAAATTGGGAAAGACTTTATTTCAAGTGCAAATACCCTCCAGGAGAGGATGAGGGCCACCTGTTTTGTGTATTTCAAGCTGCTTATTTCTCCTATAATATCTGAAATCAATGGCTAAGAGAAGTTAGGGGAAGTATGGGAAAGGGATGAAGGGGTCCTTCTCAGAGGAGTTTAAACTGGGGTGGGGGCCGTGGGGGAGCCCTCTCCCTCAAGGGGCAGCAGACAGGGCCCTGCGTGCTGACCCTGGAGGTAGGAGGACAGCAAAAAATGAGTTCTACAGTCTACATCTCTCACAAAATTGGAGAGGGAGTTGTGCTTCCAGTAGGTTTTCATACTACTGTTGTTTTAAAGAAAATATCCTACCATGAAACAATAGCTCTAACATTAATGGAATTGACACAATACACTTAAGCATGGCCATGAAATTCTCTTTTCTCATCCCCAGTTTTGAATTTTACAACATAATACCGAGCATTTAACACCTCTTACTTGACTTGAAAATGATGATTCTGCTCCTGTGGCAACTTTGTTAATATGTTTTAGTAAGACTCCCGTATTCCTGTGCATGTAGTGGAAAGGGTTATTGACTTAAATTTGCAGATGAACATACTGAGGCTGAAGCATGCCAAGAGATTTGCTTTGGCTAAATGGTGAATCAAGCTGTAAGAAAAACCCCACAATCACTAGAATCTGTTAACTTAGTGAATCACTGGACCATGCTGCATCGAAACAGGAGATCTGGAAAGAATATCTTTCCTTTTAAAGTTGGACATGGCCATGCATTTAAAAAATTAATTATAAAAGCAATTGATAATTGAAACAATACAGAAGGGTAAAAAGTGAAAAAGGAATTTTCCTACATTAGACATTATTTTCTGTTATTCAAATCCACTCCTGTCTTTTCCTCCAAAATGGCAGAAAGAAGACTCTTTGGGACGGGGTACTAACCTCTGCATGGCCATGTGGTCAAGATAGGGGCCCTTTCTCAGCCCAAGGAGAACATTTAGCATTGTCCAAGCTAATAACAGCAGTCTCATTTCCCTTGCAAATGATTAGGTTAAGCAGGGCTGGACCCAATCCTGGCCAATGTGACCTGAGAATATGTCAGCTGGTGGGATTCTGGGGGAGTTTCCCTTGCTATTATAATCCGATGCAAAAGCAAAAACACTTTTCTTGTTTGCTGGACATTGTCATGTCTACATTACTGAAGCCACCTGAGGCCACAGGACATACTGAATAATGGCACAGTGGGGAGATGGGAAGCCCTGGATCCTGAAAAACACTTTAAAGTCACTGGATTGACTGAACTGGGAATCGTCTTCTTTTGTCCTTTTTATGTCAGAAAAAAATTCTTAATTCTGTAAGTTAATATTTTGTTGAATTTTTTGTTTTCAGAAGCCCAAAGGATCCAAATGATACAGTTCTAACACCCCCTACCACTTAAAAGAGGTAACCACTGTTAAGAGTTTGCTGTGTATTTTTCAAAATCCAGTAACATTTGCCCATGTACACACACATTTATGATACAGTTTTTATTAACAACAAAACATGGCATCAAGTCTATACCTTGCTATATGGACAAGCAGTAAATCAAACCTGTCTTTAATCCAGTTGAAAAGAAAGTAAACTTTTCGAATGTTTAGAATATGACTTTGGTAGCTAATGTCTTTGGTTCTTGATTCTTCTCTCTCTCACATTTATTGAACATTTGCAAGGTGCTGGGGGAATAATGATGATTAAAGACAGGGTCCCTTACCTCAGTTTAAAACAAGTAATACAAAAGTCAACAAATTAAAATGCTTGAAAGCAGAGAAGACAAAGTATTATAAAGTGTTATTCTTCACTAAAAACTATTGAAATTGTGTATGCTAACTTTCTAAATGCAAGTAATTTCTGCAAAAGCTTAATCAAGATCCGGGCTACTTAAAATTAAAAATTAACTGGGAACTTATCGCACAAATACGCTCTTGATGTATACAATGGCACACATGTACAAGCAGCTCATTGCTATAGAAACTATGCTAATTAGCACATTTTATTTATATCACAAATACAATAGGACATGTGATTCTGCTTATTACTGAGATTCAGTTAAGCTCATCCAAGTACAGGAAGGTCTTAAGAATGGGAGACCTCCCCTGTGTTCCCTGAGGACAGAGCCCTTGTTATCCATCTCGGCCCCATGGAACTTTCACATCACAGGTACTCAGTGATTTATGAAATTTGATTTATGAAATTGTCTGAAAATACAATTACCAAGGCAGCCTTACCCTTGGAGACCACTCTATGCCTTTGAAGGCACATATGATAAAGTTGTCTCGCTACTGTAGGCTGTGACATTGCCTTAAGAATTCTGATCTTGGCTAGTCAACTTTCTTATCCAGCAAAGCCCTATTTTCCCCTATTAGTACATTTTTAAAAGTTAGTTGAGAACTATAAGGCTGCAAATAGCACAAAAGGGTAAGAGAGCTGGGCACAGCAGACGGTGTTCTCTCACTGGGCCACCGTCAGGTCTCACTCCATGGGCCTATGTGTTACATTGAAATTGAAAAGAAAAACCTCAAATGCAGAAATTCTGAAGTCCACTTGCTGTTGACTGTTTTCATTGCCTTCTTAATCCCTTTTATAATAGCAATTCATGGCAATTTGCTCTAAACTCTAATTTAATTTCAAACTTTTATACACACACTCCCCTGAAAAAGGCATGTGGCCAGGGCATGTGGACATCACAGGACATAGAGGGATGTGTGAAGCAGGGCGTGACAGCTGGGGACCATTGTGGTGTGTTATTTCTGTTCAACTCAGACATGCTGTAACTGTTTCAAAGGAGAATCTGAAGAATACATTTAGAAATTAGGAATACTGAAATAAACTTGCATATGGACAAAAAAAATATGAGCTTTTCCCTCCACCAGGCAATTCATTTCATGCCCACAGGCAAGTCGTTTGCATTGCCGGTAGTTCTTTATAACCTACAGAGTCATAAAACAGCTCAAAGGTAATGAAAGCTAGAATCAGATAACCTGCGAGTGTGCCCATTCTACAAAAGCATGGTTTTCCAATGAAGAACAAATTTTCCCTACAGAACCCAGACGTTTCTTTAAAAGAAATCATGGAAGAAAAGGGGGTTAAAGTGGGGCTTACTGTCTGCTCTAGGGTTAAGTAGCCACCAAATTAACAGGACAGGTTAGTGGTTAGGGTATGTTCTGGGTGAAGTTCAGAAGGGGTCCTGCTGCTCTCAGCAGTGGTCACCTCACATATATCCATGCACTTATGTGTATGCACAAGTGTAGGCTGAGGAGGCAGCTGGCAGAGGGTGAGCATCTTTGTCTGCCCTCAGTCTTCATGTGAACCCTCAGCTGTGAAGGACAAGGACTGTCACTGAAGGTCTGTCAGTTAAGCCGAAGAGACATCAGCTTCACTTTACAAACTGTTGCCTGTGTTTGCATTTTGTCTTCATCAGAAAAGCTACTGATTTAATAGGTTTCAGCTCAGACCTTTCGAATCTACTTACCTGGAAGTCGGTCAAGGCAGACTGTACTGTTTGACAAAGCTAAGCAGAAGAGAATTCCTTCATGCTTCTAGCTTCAAGGAATCCCAGCTATTTACCCATGACCAAGGAGTAAAACGCTGTGGCGGGGTGGGGCTGGTGGTTCATTTACTCCAGCCCTTGGTGTTAAGGTTCAGTTAGTGGATTTGCTTTTCCATCTAGGAGAACTCATCTTCAAAGTCACCTGTCGGGTCAGCCGCCGGCCGACCCGATCAGCCCTAGCCTCGTTATCAGTCTTTCCCTTGTTCTCCCCCGTGGGTGGCGGGCGAGCAGACTGCCCAGATTCCTCTTTCCCTCCAGTCCCTGTTGGAAGGAGATGGGCAAGAGAGCCACAAAGAGAGGTGAGCACAGCCCCCGGCCCCAACCAGCCCGGTTTAAAGGACACTCAGATGTGGCGGGGGTTCTGTTTATTATCACACAAGCACTTGACTTTAAAGGCAAATGGAGAAGGGAGGTTTTTACATCCTCCAATCAGCTTAAAGGTTACGAGAGCATGCATCCTGTCTCAATGCCCAGCTATTGCAATCACGCAGTGTTCACGAGCGCAGAAGCGCGTATTTGGGCAATAAGGGCTAAGGCAAGGTTCCCGCAGACACCCCCACCCTACTTCCTCCTGGCACTATCTTAGGCTGCCACGTTAATACGCCCTTGTGGGCCCATAATGGCGCCGCTTGT